TAAATCATAAATATCTAAAGTCAATATTGAAAATGTCATAAACTAAGAAAATGTAAATAAATGTTAGTCACAGAAATCATTCTATAAAGAGAAGTGTGAATTTTTTTTGAGGCATTTCAAAATAGTAAGCCAGATGATTTTTTTTGTATGGAAATAGTATCTTTTAATAGTTAAATGCATAATTTGTACTTGTCTTAGATTTTACTACTTTTCTAATATTAACTGTACTTTCTTAAAAATATACTCCGTATAATTTAACATTGAAATTTTAAAGCGATGCTTTTTAGGTTAATTCTCAAATAACCTGATACAAATAAATATGCTTTTTTAACATTATATTTTTTCCATTTCACCCTGTTGCAACAATTCACATTAAAATGGATTGAATCGGATGATTCTGTTGAAGTAATTGATTTTGTTGATTTTTGAAAAATTATATTTAAAAATACTATGTATTTTATTAATAAAATAAAAAAAGAATTATATAAAAAATAGTTAAAGTGACTCTATATTAATTGAAGGATTTGAAGCCAGTCCATTTAAAAGTCAAGTACAATCTTACTTATTTTAATTATTACATAATTTTACGCTTGATAATAAAAATTACTGACTTTCACATAGTTAAATCATAAATATCAAAAGTCAATATTGAAAATGTCATAAATTAAGAAAATATAAATGAATGTTAGTCACAGAAATCATGATATAAAGAGTGTGATTTTTTTTTGAGGCATCTCAAAATAATAAGCCAGATGATTTTTTTTGTATGGAAATGGTATCTTTTAATAGTTAAATGCATAATTTGTACGTGTCTTAGATTTTACTACTTTTCTAATATTAACTGTACTTTCTTAAAAATATACTCCGTATAATTTAACATTGAAATTTTAAAGCGATGCTTTTTAGGTTAATTCTCAAAGAGGGATCTATATTCATTCAAATAGCCTGATACAAAGCTCTTAGGGGTCGTTTGGTTCAAGGAATGTTATATTACCATGGGAATGTCAGATTACTGAGAATGTTAGATTGATGAGGATATTTCAATTTATTTACATTTGTGTTTGATTAAGATTAAGGGAATGTGTCATTATTTATTTGGTTGAAAGATATCATATATTGCAGATATGGTGAATTACCTCAATGCCCTTTAAATATTTCCTCTTAACACAATAAATCTATTACAACCTACATCTAAAGTAATTAAAATTGAAGAAAAAATGAAATATCTTAATAATAAATAAAATCAAACATAATTGTATTATTTTTAAGTAAAGTATGTTTAATTGTAAAAAGTTGTAGATCCAATACAGAAATGAAAAAATCTTTGTTCAAATAGTAAGATAAATATATGTATTATCATTTTTAAAAAATGTTCAGGTTATTTGTAAAACTTGTTTTCAAATTAAAGAAAAAATGATCAATTTGGCCATTAAATTTTGAAATCCATTCATCAAAAACTTAAATAATCTACAAGTCTTACTCGTATAACATAAATACCTTAAAAAATTTAAATGTTAAGGAAAAAAGCAAATAACAAGAATTGACATTTGAATATAATTAAATACTCCATCTATCCCACTAAAAGGTTGTCACACAATTTATGATACTTGACTCACCATGAAATTACATATTTAGTAAATAAAATTTACATATTTTTAGTAAATAAAATTTACATATTTAGAAACTACATTAAATTTTTATAAAGTCACAAAAAATCAAATTTGATTACAGTTGAATATTTGAAGAAATTAAATGAAAAGAGATAAATAATTGAGGGTATTTTCGGAAGAAAATTAGATCACCCCCAGGAATGTGAGATAACTTAAGGCATAGATGGGTTTAACATTCCCCTCCATATTACATTTCCGGGAATGTAACTTTCTCGATTTTGTTTCAAACTCGTGAACCAAACAAAGGTATCTAATACAACAACAGATGTTTGAATACAACATTACCAAAGATGCTGCATTTTGTCTACCTGCATGTAATTTGTTTAAGAATGAGTGAGAAGTTGGTGGTTATCGTTTTTTTAGAATAGGGTTTTCAGATGCTATATTTTGTTTACCATGTTATTTTCCTTTTAAGATGCTGCATTTTGTTTTCCATATTATTTGTTTAATTTTATATTAATTAGAGTTACATTATGATAGTGACCTCATGGATCTGTTTTTCTGAGTCCACCACTGCTTACGATTACACTGATGATATCAACTATGCATTAGTAGGGATGGACTCGGGCCGGGTGGCCCGACCCGGAACCGGCCCGGGACCGGCACTGTTCCGGCCCGGCCCGACCCGGTGGCCCGGTCAGTGACCGGTCCGGGTAGGCCCGGCCCGTGGGTTTTCCGGTCCGGGCTCGGGTCACCCAAAACAAGGCCCGACCCGGTTCAGGCCAATTTTTTTTTTTTGTTTTTTCAATTTATTTTAACTTTTCGGGTTGGGATGGGTATTTTGGGCCATTTGGGGTGGTTTGGGGGGTTGGGGGTGGGAGGGGGTTAATTAGGAAGAGGAAAACAAAAAAATATATATATAATGGGTTTGGCCCGGCCCGGCCCGGACCCGGACCGGACCCGGTGGTTACCCGGGCCGGTCCCGGGTCCACCATTTCTGACCCGCCGGCCCGCCCGGGCCTAGGCCCGACCCGGACCCGGCCCGGACCCGAGTCCAACCCTATGCATTAGCCTAATGTAGGCATGATGTCAATCCCGGGATCTGATCTAGTGATATATGTGTAGGAGGTTATGATGTAACCATGCATATGCGTGCTTGGAATGACCGAGAAGTGACTAAGTACTTGTAGAAGTTGTTTGTAAGTCGAGGCGGATCAGGTCCGCTCGACCTCAACTGGGACCGAGAAATGGTTGGCAGACGTTTTCACTTTTACCATTAATTAATATAAATAAATGAACCTTTTATAATTAATGTCAATTAAATTGGACCGGAAAGTATCCATTGTATACCATATTTGAGCTAACATCTCAATGCTTGAAATAACTACTTGGAGTCAACTTCCTCGCACATTCTAATTTTATATATGTATAGAAATATGAAATAATATCCCATTTCATGAGACCCTATGTCCGTATTCATTAAAAGATCTTCTATATGCTCAATTGTTTTTTTAATTGAGTCAAAAGTGTATGAGGTCCATATGCATCATGTCGAAAGTGCTAATCACCATTGACAATACACATTCATGATAAATCAAATCAAAAGTTTGTAAATATCTCCTCCTAAACCATTCCTCTAGCTCTCTGATTTTAAAATTAAATGAAGTGTGTTACACACAAAAACCATTTGATAAATGCCATGCACATAAGAATCCAATTAAGGTGGGCAGTGAGATAAGTACTCACAAATGAAAGACCCCTTTTGTAAATAGCATCTTCTCACCATTACCTTACTCATTTGGAGGCAAGCTATAAAAAAAGAATGACACCCCATCACATCCCTTGATGCCCTCAAAATTGATCGGACAGTTATCTGTGAGGATGTAAGTTGAGTTTTAATCACACGAAAAGAGAGTGGAGTTTTATACCAAGTCATTGCTTGCAGTTGAACCCGTGACCTCTCCCTTGAGCAACGCCCCCTTCTGATGCTAGCTATAAAGTTTTACTTAATGAGGTGTGAGAGAAATTAGGTTTACTAATGACTTGTTTTAGAGTATGTTTCGAACTCTAAACAGTCATTTTTCTATTAAACAACGGTGTTTCCCGTTTCAAACTTTCCATGATTCACATATTTTCGTGCAACATAAATTGTAATTTCATCAATTTTATCACTCCGTATAAAACAGCCCCTACCAAATGTGGGGTTTAAGAATCACCCCATAATCAACATCTATATTCGTATTGGCTAAATGTCCCATCCTTTAATTGTGATATGAAGTCTTAGGCTGAGATAAACCACACATTTCAGTGATAAAAACTTTCCAATAGAAAAGAACACGTACATCTCGTAGTTACCATACATCCCACATAGGAAACAAACACTCAACCAAGTTTGGCTGTTAACTTGTTGTCACACTTACGGACATATAAAGGGGATTGACATTGTGCGGTATGAGTTCCAAGTTTGATCTATTCTACTCACCAAACATAAAATTAAATGTCAAGATCCTTATTTGAAAAGTGAGTTATCTCTACTTAGAATTGATAAATCTGAATTTATTTATGTCTCAATACTCCTTTTGTCTCGCAAAACTCTACACTTTCCTAATTTAGTTGTCCCAAAAAACTTTGCAACTTCCATTAAAAGCAATAAACATGTGGGTAATGTTCTTCCTTTCTGCTCTAAATCCATCACACAGCTTTTATTTTATTATTTCATGTTCAAGTCGACTTTGGGCATGTTTTACGTGTGGAAAGGGGTATTATTCAAGTCTGAACTTATCTAATCTATTTGAGTTTGTCCGATGTGTTTAAGTATGATCTAATTTAGTTTAAATTCATGCAAGACCAAGTAAGTTTTCTTTTTGAAAAGTATAAAAACTATTGATGATGATTGATGATTAGTACTGCATTACCTACCTGGATTATCTTCCAAATGGAGTTTTGCACGTGGATTAAAAAGGTAAGAATTATGTGGTGAAAAATTGTGTAAAGAAAAGATAAATATGTAAGAAATGTTCTAAACCATTTTATAAGGTCCTCCCACCGTCCCGAAAAGATTGGCCAAATTTCCTTTTTTGGATGTCCCAAAAATATTTGTCATTTTCATTTAAAGTAAGGAATATGTGGCTAAAATTAATTCCCTCTCCTCTGCACAAATTTCAACCACACGGTTTTTACTTTATTAATAGTGTGATTGTGTGTATTAACGGTTTCAACCAGTTTTTACTTTATTAATGGTGTGAAACTCAACTTTGGCTAAACTAAAAAAGGGCTACCAAATTCAGTGAACATATGACCTAATTTGAGAGTGGGACCCACTAAAGCAAAGCGTGTCCACTCGTTAGAATTGAAAGAGTATATAAAATGTAAGCTTCATGCAACCTTCTCATACACACAATCACACCAACACCACTAATAATAAGAGCTCAAACATATCCTGAACAACACAAACCCAAGCCTGCCTTATTCTTACCATCTCCATGAAACAAAAACGTTTAACCACTGCCACTCGTCATGATCATCATCAAGAAGAACCCCCCAGCAAAGTTAGGGCAACTGCTTACCACTGGGGCAACAGTTATGACACCCAATCCCATATGGAGGCCTTCCTGCTAAAGGGTACTGCGGCAGAAGGAGGAGGGGTGTGTGATGAGCTGGAGGAAGGCGGTCTCCTCCTGCGGGAGCCGCCACTCGCGGAGGAGGGTGCCGGAAGGGAGCGGCTGCAGAGGCATAGACATGAGGTGGCCGGGCGCGTTTGGATCCCGGAGATGTGGGGCCAGGAGGAGTTTCTCAAGGACTGGATCGACTCTTGTACTTTTGATGCTTCCTGGGTGAATGCCAACATAATCTTAGCTCGTACGGCTTTGGTGGAGACAGCTCGTAGAACGCCACCGCCGCCTCATCCAACTCCGGCCAGATTAAGAATAGATAGCACTTGCTTTCCTGTTCCGTGATGATTATTACTCCATAGTTCCCTATTGTCTCCATCTCAAATAAACTTCAACCATTTTAATTTTATATCGCTTTTTTCCATTATTCCATACATATCTTGTACAATATCCATTATTTTTTATAGGGTTAATTGTCAAAATAGAACTAAAAGTTAGTCACTTTGCACAAATAGGACCAAAAAGTAAACTGTGTTTTGACAGGTCTAATTATGTGTGTGTTGGACAAATATATCATTGTTGCTATTGAAATGTTTTAATTCATAATAAAATAATAAAAAATACTAAAAAATTAATAAAATAATACCTCCGCCCCTAAGTTTGGGACAAAGGGGTGTGATGTGATTTTTAAGAAAAAGTAGAATTGTGCGGTTGATATTGAATTTATAAAGTGTGAATAAAGTAAGAATGAATTGTAACCACCCAAATATTATCAAATATGGTGTGGGACAAACTTAATGAATGATAAAAAAATAGAAGAAAAATATTTGTTCTATAATTATTTGTGCGGAGGGAGTAATAATTAAAAAAAATGAAGAAAAATTAAAAAAATAGAAAAATAAAAAACACAAAAAAAATCACTGCCCCAGCACCACCACCTCCTGTCACCGGGGAAAACAAATGCCACATCCATTACGAATGTCATATTTATGGTATATTCAATGAAAAATTTAGCATTCTCAAAAAGTAATATGCCATTTTTTGGCATTTTCAGGAAAAAATGGCAGTTTTCAGAAAAAGTATCTTTTTTTTTTACACCGGTCGGAGGTGGTGGTGCAGGGAGGCAATACAAACGATGGGAAAGGAATCTAATTTAAAAAATTAAAAAAAATAAAAAAAAAAATAAAAACTTAAAAACGCTAAAAAAATAATCACCTTTGCCTCTGCCGCTCCAGCACCACCATCTCCGATCACTGGAGGGAAAAAGTCCACATGTATTATGAAAGCCATATTTATGGCAGATTTAATGAAAATTTTGGCATTCTCAAAGAGTAATGTCATTTTTTTGACATTTTTCAGAAAAAATGACATTTTTTACACCGACCAGAGATGGTGGTGCAGGGAGGCAGTACAGGTGGTGGGAAAGGCATCCAATTTTTTTTAATTTTTTTAAGGAGTTTTACTATTTTTTATTAAGTTTTTGAAAAACAAATTAAAAAAAATATTTTTATAAATATTCTATTAATTTTTTATTATTTTTCTAGGATTTTTTTATTTTTTTTATTTTTCTATGAATTAGACATTTATTTATGACTTTGGACTACCTTTTACTCATATTTAAAGGAGGTGTAAGAATGGAATGAAAAAATATGCATATTTCCAATTGGAGTAAGTTTTTACTTGGACTGTAATTTGCTGGTCTGGTCTTGTCTTGTCTGAACTGGTCTGGTCTGGTCTGATTTCTTTGTATTTTTATAACTATCCAAGTCTGGTCTGGTCTGGTCTGGTCTAGTCTGTTTTAGTCTGATCTGGTCTGGTCTGGTCCGGTCCGGTTTGGGACGAATTACAGTCCAAGTAAAAATAACCTAATATGGTCTTATTTTGGAATAACAACATAACAAGTCCTATTTTGGATTTTTGCCATAGTGTTACTCCTATTTGAAGTAATTTCCATTTTTTATACTACATCTGTTTTCTTTTAATTGCAACATTGGACTTTTTGCACTATTCACATATTCTACTTTGACTATATTTTATTTATTAATTTATTATAAATTAAAATTTTAAAAAATATTTTTAAATTCCTCTCATTTTAAATTTTCAAAATCTGAATTTTATAATTTTTTTACGAATAAGGAATGAAAGATATTAATGGACAAACTTGTGTGTTGGAAAACGTGAAAAGTGGACTGTTTCAATTAAAAAAGAATGGAGGAAGTATGCAAATAAAAACCACTCTATATAATAAAGCAAAAGTTTAGACATAGATTGACAAAGATAGACAAAACAGAGCATAAGACAATACTCCCTTGATCCCATTCGACTTTGACAACTTTCCCTTTTTATTTGTCCCAAAAAATTTTGTCACCTTGAAATTAAAGCAACTAATTTGTGATTCTGCACATTTCCATCTCCTCTGTACAAATCTCAACCACACAATTTTTACTTTTCTTATTTCTCACCTACTTTGCACTACAGGTTAGGTAGTATAATTTATGCGTCCAAATGTCTAGTCATGAAATTTAATGTAATGAACTCTTAGATCTGATGTTTTTTGCACATATCAATAGCTTGAGAAAATATATATATTATAGAGAACGCCAGCATGCTTCCATATAGGTTAGCCTAACGTTGAATCACCCATCCAGACATATTGTATAGAGAGAGCCCCCAATGTTCTTCATCCCGTATTGACTATTGAATGCCCTGTTCTGTACAATCGATTTCATCATTCTAACATTCAGTACAAGTATTATTACGCTCATCTACTCTCTACTATCCTTTAATTATCGTTGATTGTCATGATATATGGGATTCACAGTTATTTATAAGAAAAAAAATTAGGAAGTCATCTTTTCCTTGCAAATATTTCAGCAACGAGAGTAACTATGCACGACCTTTTTCTATCTGTACTGGTGGAGGAAGTAGAGTAAATAACAATATTTGGTACGTAGTATAAAAGAAAAAATAGCGGCTGGAAAAAAGTTGGCAAAGCAAGCCACTACTTATAAACCAATGAAAAGAGAGCCTCTAAAAACCGAATATCAGGTTATAATAAAGTTACAATGGTAGGTTGTTTATCATCCAGACTGAGGAGCCAATTCCCATATTTTGATCGTCTCATCATCGCTTGCCGAAGCAAGTAGCCTTTTATCCTGTCAGGATTACACAAGCAAATGCACAGTTTTAAAGGTCTCCCATCTAATTCCAATTTATGTCAAGCAAAATATTTTCTAGTATGATGCAAGATTTTGCTCTTCATCTGATGCAAACTGTTAAAATTACTCGAGGATTAACCGTTTTTTTCCTTTTAATCCTTTGCTAATGTAATTGTAGCAATTCTAGTCCTTTGTGGTTAATCATTTTGCAAAAAATCATCCCTGAGCCGACCTCTGTAACTCCTAGTGGCAGTTTACTCCTCGAATAACCCCATGGACTAAAATCGCTACAATTGATGGACCAAAACTGCCACTAAAGCTAGAAAAAGGGATACGTTTTGGGAGTTCACAAGGAGGAGAAATCAAAGTAATAGTTTGTGCAAGAACTAATAACCTCCCAGAATGATGCCTTCAACATATTCAGAAATCAGAACTAGAGGCATATACAGAATGAAGCCTTCAGAATGAGACCTAGAAGTTGAAAACTCAGCAATGACAATGAATGCTTCCAACACACGTTGGTAACCAAACTCTCGGACACCCGGGTGTAAATTTACATCCAGGTCTTTTGTAAATTACTAATGGCTGCTCACTTTATATTTGAAAATAACACATTTTTCATGTTCAGCTCATTTTTATTATATATAATGCCCATTTAAATATAAGGAATACTCACTTTGCATCTGAAAAAAAGCTCATTGGATGTACAATGCTTACGGTACATCCGGATGAAGCAAAAACACTCTCCACATTGGTGTTTTTAAATAGATCATAATAACATTTTAATTGTAATCAAATACTACCTCTGAAAACATTTTAATGAGTCTACACTTTGGCAACCTTCTTTATTTGGTTATCCCAAAAACTTCGTTACTTTTCTTTTAAAGTAATTAGTTCGTGATTCATATTGTTTCTCTTTCCTCTGTCAAACTTCAAGCATAGAGTTTGTGGTTTCTTATTCACATGTGTCAATCAAACTTGTCAAAGCTTTAAGAGGAGGGGTTATGTTTTTTAGTATAAATTCACAATAGACATTTGATTACATCTTGTGAAACTGCACCCTAATGCTTTTTCAAGAGTTGTAATACGATCCCCTTTGCTCCTAGTTTTTTCCATAATAACGACATACTTCAGAGGAATAAACATGTTATATGTGCATGGAGAGAACTGGCAGTCCATTGCTTATGGTACCAAACACTATTGAAAAATACTAACCCCAGTGTTCCATTGCACAGCATTTACATCCATCTCATGGGCCTTCTCCTTCTTTAAAAGTAAGCTGTATGCAGGTCCATCTACCTGTGATATAGATAAGGTTGAAAACTGCCATTATTTCCCTTCCATAAAAGTCAGCCCAAGACACTTGAAGTATGGAGGTAAAACTGCGTAGTCTACAAGTAAAAAAAGCAAATATTAATTATGAGGGGTTGTTGGATGACTTGAGCAATACCACTGTGCTGTCATTCTCAACAAATAAGCGTATAGCATCATCAGACGCTCCACTGGCAATTATTCCTTCACTGCAATATACATTATTCACATAAACTTACAAATGCAAAAAATCAAATATTAATACTTTCTTCGCTGCAAATAAGGTTCTTGTTCATTACTTTTGCAGCCAATTTAACTCCGCTTTAATCTGTTATTTCCAATACTACTTCCACCCCATTAACTTTGGGACATGGAGTTCAGCAAAATATTAAGAAAAAGGAAAAAATATGTGGCTGATATTGAATTTTGTATGGGATCAACATTTTGGGACGGCCTAAAAACACATCTTGGGACAGTCTAAAAAAGAAAACGGGACAAACAATGAGAATGTCAATTTTTTTAATATTCGAACTCGATTATTACAGTTCAAAAAACGCTTCGTGTAGTTTCTAAATATATAAAATTGAATAGTAAATTAGTAATTTAAACATTAATCATGAAAATTTAACTTTACTGCCACTCAAACATAATTAAGACAAACCAAAACATGAACCTTAATATGGGGAGTTTTTTCCCGGATAGGGGTACTTTACAATCTTTCCATCATTTGCAATGGAGCCAAAGATTCATTATTTTTTGGCTTGAGATTATGATGGAATAAAGCAAAATGGCTCACTAAACTGTCTGCGCTTCTTTGTTATGGAGCAGCAGTCAGTCCATGCAATTTTGGACGCGATTTTCACTATGGGTCATCCAGAAACAGTCTCTCTGTGCTTTAGTGTAGGGGTAAGACTGCGTACATCCGACCCCCCCTTACCCCACCGTAGGTGGGAGCCTTTGCGGCACTGGGGTAAATGAAAATGATGAAAATGATGAGGTGTACTTTACAATCTTATTTCCCTAGGTGGGTACTTTTAAACTTATTTCCCAAATGGGGGTGTTTTTTCCTAGTCATAGAGCTGTGGGCGCCATGTCAGCAATGTCCGTATTAATTTAATTTCCATGTCATCTCAAATTTAAAATATCCAAAAAATTCAAGCCTCTGGGAGTCGAACTCGGGCTAATTCTTTAAAAATCAGAAGGTCACCCACCCACCGCACACCTATTAGGAGTTGTTACATTCCCTTCTTTAAGAGTATTTGAAAAACAGCTCTATGTCATATTGTCCCAAGCAAGTTTAAGTTGTTCTTTTGGTGGTTCAATTTATTGGTATTTTCCTCAACTTATGCTTATTTTATTGGTGTTCCAGTATGAAATGTTGTTTAATTTATTTGGCTGTGTGGCAATTTTTTGTTTACCATGATAATAAGAATAAGATGTTAGTAATATAGGAGTAATTTTACGTAATTTATTTGTTTGTTTCTAATATTTGTAATGTTGGCTAATGATGTATATATATACATACAGGGAGTGGAGTGGTTCCACTGAGAAAGAACTCCCAGGAGAGAAATGAGAATGAATTTGGGTTGTTGGATTGTATTATGTGAAATTAAATTGTGCATTTGGTAAAACTGAAATGTGCATTAAGTGAAATTGAAATGTGCAGAATGAAAAGTAAAACTCAAATGTGCATTACGTGAAATTGAAATGTGCAGAATAAAAGGCATAAAAATGCCACCACATCGTAGTTTTTATTCTGCACATTTCAGTTTTTATACAGATGTACAAAGATGTACACACATATATATTTTACTTATCTAACGATTTCTCTTAAAAATGCCACCAAAGTTGTACAAAGATGTACAAAGCAAATACAAAAAAAAATAGTTGATTCAAATAGGACTAGAATTGAGTTTTAGAATATTATGGGTGTCTTTGATGTTTATTATGTTAATCATTATTTAATTATTATGAAGGAGTACTACAGAAGGACAAAAAAATTACTTTAATTTGATGTATAAATATGGACTCCATCTGTCCTGTTTCAAGATTTTCACTTGACTCTTTTTTATGTCTCATATCAAGATTCTTATTCCATTTTAGGAAATAATCAACTCCCCTAAATGACAACTTTAACATCACATATTAGAATTAATACACCCACCACCACCATCATCATCAACTATCCCATTATATTATATACACATCCAAACTACTACTCAAAGTATAATCAAATTAATTTATCTAATTAACTATTTCCTAAAAAAGCATGTGTCATTTACTCATTTTCAAATGGGGACCTTCAATTGTTATAAAATTTTAATAATGTTGACCAGGTTGAGCTGCCCTATCCAGGTTAATCCTTGAACCCGTCACTTGGCAGGGTCCTTTTCTGATCCGGTTTTTAAAACATAGGTTAATAGCTGCACAACCAGAGTGAATGTTCTTAGGATCAAAATCCCAAATGTTGGATTATTAAAATTTCATAGTGACCTTAAACCCACGAAAATATGTTAAGCCACTCCACCTGACCCTACCCCAGCCAGCCACCCCCGACACAAAAGTAAAATAAAATAACACACTCACAAGGCACTCTGTAAATGATAAGGCATATATTCATTTAGACCAGGGTAAAGAGAAAAAAGGTAAAGTATATCTGGTAAAAAGAGTGGTAAATAGAACCACTCTTTTTGTTGTTGTTGTTGTTGTTGTATATCTGGTAAATAGAACCACTGGTTGTAAGTTTTAGGAGAGTTAGAGGAAAAATTGATACCTTGACCAATGTACAGAAAAAACTGTTCTGTCATGATACCCAGTGACAGTACTAATGTGCCTCCTGGGAAAATGAAAGCATGAAGATAATTGCAATAAGCATACAAATCAAAAGTGAAAGCGATAAAACAGTTTACTAGCATGCCAGTTGCTAATATACCTAAGAAATGCTGTGAATGCTTGTATAGTTGTATTTTTACTTGTCAATTTCTCAATAGGCATTCCAACTAATTATTCCTTCTTTTTATGTACTGAAAATAGATTTAATGAGAGTATAAACTTAGCATGTACAATCTTAAAACACATAAATGTTGGACACAGTTTGTTTTAACTGATGCGAGTTGTGACAATTCTTTTCAACGACATGCAAGTGAATTAATTTTCCAAACAGTGATAACTTTAAGGACAAAAAACTTGAGGAAAAGTATGTTATACTCCGTAATATACAAGCACAGATTTAAGGACACACACAAAAAAATGAACCCTGCCGTTGCACACTCACCAAGGTGTGTTTAGATCACCAGACATCATTTTTTCTACGTCTGTTGTCCATATCTTCAGGGAAAGGTCATCGCTGTAAATTCAACTTAACAACATAATATTACCCCTTGAAGGTTCACTTCTACGAATAAACTAATTCTGTATCGAAATCAACTTATAGACATGGAATAATGATATAATGATAATAAGAACATTAAGAAAAATAATAACAACTATCAAAGAAAAGAAGTTTATGAAAGTATGACTGCATACCTACATGTAACCATTCGATCTCCACTGGCATTAAAAGATAGAGCCCAAACTGTTGACTTATGACCGCTGTAATGAGAAAAGTTCGACTGAGCTTTTCAATAAACTTATACAGCGTTGCTGGTAATAAAAGTTTGAAATGGTAACTTAATACAGAATGCATAAACAAACCAGCATGCTAACTATAATATGCGATGTGAATTTCTTTTAAAACGAATAATTGAATCAATTCGCCTTTTTTAATAAATTAATATTTTTATATTAAATAGGGAGCAAGTTATGTTGTAGCACAGGGGTAAGACTGCGTACATCCAACCCTCCCTTACCCCACCAGAGGTGGGAGCCTTTGCAGCACTGGGGTAATGATAATGATAGGGAGAAAGTTAAGCTGTAACCTGTTAGATTCAGCTAAGGTTTGAATGCAATGCCAATCATCACTATCACCTTCATCTGCCCAAACCTGTCATTTGAGCAACTATCAATGGTGTTTCTAAAGAAAATGAATGTTGGAATCTACCGTGGCATTCGCAAGCAGTAAACAAACCGAGTCAAACTGGACAGTCATGAAATCGAAGTTCGGTTCAGGAAATTTTAAAATTAAAAGAAACCCTCTGTAATTGAACTTGCAATAACTTGATAACAGATACATACATGCTACATACAAGATACGTACATGCTATCATACATATACAACCATATGAGTGTGTGACTATGTGTATACAAATGTCATCATCATCATCATTACCTCAGTGCCACAAACGCTCCCACCTACGGTGTGGTAAGGGGGGTCGGATGTATGCAGTCTTACCCCTACACTAAATCACAGAGAGAAATCATAGAGAGACTGTTTCCTATCGCGTCGAAAATTGCATGGACTGACCGTTGCTTCATAAAAAAGAAGCGCATACAGTTTAGTGAACCATTTTGCTATATTCCATCATATTCCCAAGCCAAAAAATAGTGAGTCTTTGGCTCCATAGAAAATGATGGAAATGTGAGATGTATGAAAGTATATTTTAAATTGTAAGTTTATTAAGCAAACTCACCTATGAAGTGGGCTTACAAACAAGCTTAATAACGAACAAACCCAATATTACTAAGCTTGTGTTCAGCTTGTTAAAACGTCGGGCTCAGAAATTCGGCTCGAACAAATTTTCGTGAAATCAAGACTAGAACAGTTCACAGTACCTTAGTTTGTTAAAAGCCATATGGCCAATAGAGAATAGATGTTCTATAGTTGATTGGGGAGTGAAAAGTTTTTTTCTGTGTCATATTTACCTTGATAGTGTTATCATAACTGCATGAAAACAAGATATCCACACAAGGATGCCATCGGACCATTTTAACATCTTGTGTATGAGCTTGGAGCACAGAAACACATTCATATTCATTGCCAGGCTGAACTTCCCATATCCAAACTGATTTGTCTCGTCCACAAGTTGCAAGTAGCGTGCCAGATGCATTCCACGAGACGCTTTTTACTTCATTCTCATGACCCTAATATAAGTCCAACATCCCGGTACAAACTATAATTAGGACCCATGAAGATCAGTGAAGGGGCGACGAAAAGGAAATGATTATAATTTGTTGCTTAGAATTTGTTGCCCAAACATGATAGAAGTAAATTTCAATTGAAATTAGTAAAACCTCTCTACACCACTGAAGCAAAAAATAAAAAAACATAATTACAATATAATAATCTGTACTTCTTAGTTAAGCAACTATAAGAATGAAATGGACAAGTCTTTAGTAACATACAACTATACAAGTTAACCAGCCCACAACCAGGTTGGGAAAAGAAACTGATAAAGCACTTGTATCTCTCCATTAATTCCCTTGTTTGGGAAATACTTAGTTTTTTTCTTTCTGCAATAAAATGATGGGGGTCACGATTGCGACATTTTTACAATAATTTAATATATGTATAGTACCTCTAAGGTAGAGACACATTCAAAATCATCTCCCATGTGTTCCCATATACCAGTAGTGCCATCAAAACTTGCAGTTGCCAGAAATTTGCCCGATGGAGACCATGCACAGCATCTGACTGTTCTAGTGTGAGTTTCATCTAGAACTGCCTGCATACATATTTAACATCATAGATATTACTACTATTGAGTAAATCAATCGATTTTACTTACTAACAGTCTAACACCCCTTAAAAATGTGAGGATGAAAGGTATAATAGATTACTACTATTGAGTAAATAAATCTATTTCTAACTAACAGTCTAACCGCAATGAGAGAGCGATCCTACAGAAATTTCTTATCCATTGATCACTGCCAGCTTATTGCCAAAGACGACTATCAATTTTGAGCAATTTGTTTTTAGTTTGTTCGGATAGTATACTAGGATTAAAGCGTCAATATCTGAAAATGTCTTTCGTTTATTTCCCCCCTTTTATTGACTTCGTGAATATATTTGAAATGATAAGAATAACATAAAGAGGACTGGTTCAAGAGACCCCTTGGCAAATTTGATTAAAACGGCAAGAATTTCGAACTGAATGAGATTTACTTTCAGTGCTGTGAAATTGAAAAGTATCTCCAAACCTTGCAGTGGAAAGAACCAGATGGAGAACTCTGTTCCCAAATACGAACGGTTTTGTCGCCGCTGCAGGAGGCGAGTACTGCGGGTACGCCGCCAGTTCCGGTTGCCGGTTTCCATGCGACATTCCAGACCCTGTCGCTGTGGCCTTCGAGCCTCTGAATCTCCTTGAGCTCGAGTGAATTGTCCAAGAAATTCATCACGAGATTCACGCGGCAAGGCCTGCCGTCATGGGTCGGAGCCCCAGCTTCTTTGCAACTAGTCAACTACTAGCTGTGGGCCACGAAGTATGTTTTCATTGTCTCCATTCCTATTTCAAAATCATTTTGTTTTAACAACCGCATGCTCGATGTACACACTCTTGTACACACCTTATACATACCATGTTTGTGAAGGTTTTTATTTGTCTGTGAACCCGGTTCACAGACAATATTTTGTTTGTGCAAAACATTGTCTGTGAATTGATGTTCACAGACAAAAAAAACTTTCACAGACATAGATGTGTACAAAAGTGTGTATAAGAGTGTGTACAAACATCATTTTTGTTGTTTTAAACACAATTTTAAAAAGTAATACTACCCTCATCCCTTAAAACTTTGTCAAGTTCGACCGGCACGGAGATCAATAAAGTAAAAACTATGTGGTTGAAGTTTGTGCAGAGGAGGGAGAATTAACTGGAACCACAAATTCTTTACTTAAAAAGGAAAGTGGCAAAGTTAGTGGGACATCCAAAAAAGAAAGTTGGCAAAGTTTTAAGGGACGGAGGGAGGGAGTATTATTCGATAATGTTGTATAACTGTTTTATTTACCAATAAAGAAAAATGACATTTCTAGAAATGATTTGAAAAGAAAAATAAGATGATTATTTGGGCACTGAAAAAGTATGTCAAATTATATTTCATCTAGTGGGGCACTAAAGTATTTTTTAATGTCAAATTATATTTTATTAAAATAAAGCATCATTTATCGATTAAATTAAACCGTAGACTTAGAAGGGTAAATTAGTCACTAGGATACATGTAAAAGTGCTAATGTGACTCTAGCCTATCTTTTGGTGCAAATAACATTAAACCAGCGGTTTAATTAACATTTTAACCACACATTACCGGTAAGAAATGGAAGTCTAATGTTAAAAATGAGCTTGATATAAACTTTATTGATCAACATGGGACCAACCCCTTTTAAAAGGTCCATTTATGTAACCATAATCCACTTACTTACAATGAAGAAGGTGATGGAATAAATATTCAAGACGTTTGTATTTTGTTGAACATGGATTCAAATGTGCCGACCACATATTAAAAAAAATGTGTGGGAATTAGTGGAGAAAAAGAAATCCTATTTTTAAATAGTGTCATAATTTTTTTATTTGTACTTCAGTTTTTACAAAAAAGGATTACTGTCAAATAGGTCCTCGAACTTTCATAAAAGGGTCAATTAAGTCCTTCTATAGGAGGTTCTGTCCGGCCGTCGCGATTTGGGGCAGTTCCAAGTGGAATTTTTTTATGAAATTTTTTGAGCATCTTATTCACCAAGTCTAGTTTAGTCATACCAAATTTCGGCTAAAAATCCAATCGGGAACACATTCAAATTAATTCTTGAAGATAACTGCGCATTTTTGCATTCTCGAATTAATTTGAATGCGCTCCCGATTAATTTTTTAGCTGATTTTTTTAGGATGAGTAAACTATACTTGATGAGTAATATGCTCAAAAAATTTCATCAAAAATTCCACCGGGAACCGCCCCAAATCGCGACGACCGGACAGAGTCTCTTATAGAAGGACTTAATTGATTTTTTTGTGAAAGTTCGAGGACCTATTTGACAGTTTTCCCAAAAAAATATATATATGTCTTATTATTATCTTCATATGACTTCAATGTTACACATATAAAATTTAATAAAATCATGAAGTTTCATTCATAAGAGATTTCAGTCCAAAATTTTTCTTATGTGAATCCAAGTGCTAAAATTAAGATCTCTTTGTTCAAATTTATGTTTACGTCCTTCAGTTATTTTTTTTTCTTCTCGAATATAGGCGTGAAGTAACAACAACAAAATAAACCCGGAAGTTATTTATTTTTACATACAAGATTTTGGTAAATAATTGATGTATCATAAAACTAAATAAAAGAATGTGGTCTCGATGGACTTCGAGGGGTTTTCGGGGGGTTTTATGTGATGAATTTGTCGGCCGGTTTTATGTGAGATATCACCGCTTTGGCATTTCTCTCGAAGAGGTTTGTGTCTATAAGGATGGATTTCAAGGGGTTTTGGGGCTTGCGCTGATTATCATGGCCCCGGTGGGATGCGCGATTATGTCTATACCAAAGATAGTTGATTTGGATCGGATACCAATAACCCTTGGGTCGTGTATGGAGGAGAAGATAGATCTGGACTGGTTTGGTCGTTTAGCATCACGTTGTTCATATCATTTATGGTGTTATCATTGACCTGTCCCCTCATGAGCCACCGCCACGGACCGATGGGGCTGTTTTGTTTTTTAATTTGGTTATTCAAGATGGAGTTTGGCTATCTGCAACCTTTTGCTTTAGTTTCATATCAATTGTTATATTGGCCTTGTTTGGTAAATGGTTGTTAGCTGTTGCTGGTAGCTGGTTGTGTCAGCTGTTTCGCAACAGCTGGTTGTGTTAGCTGTTTTGACCGACTGGTTATGTTGGCTGATTATAAATAACTGTTTGGTAAAATTGGCTCTTTCGAAATGGCTGATGGAGTGTAAATTGAACCAGCCAAATGAAGAAGCTGCTCCCCTTAGCTTCTTCCACAATCCATTTTTTCAGCTTTTCAAACTCAACAAGCTAATTTTAAAAGTCATTTACCAAACATTATTATTAGCTTCTTTGACTAATCAAACAGTTGAAATGGGTCAAACAAGTTAAAAGCTGGCTGATAAGCCATTTGCCAAACATACCCATTGTTTTGTTAGACAGGTTATTTAGCTTTTTGTTTGTGTGTGTTTGTGTCAATCTTGTGATGTTTAGTTTGTTCGTGATTAGAATCATTTTGGCTTTTGGGGCCAAATTAGTTTTGAAAATCTCGCATGGTTAGCGAAATGATGTGCTCAATTATGGGAACCCTTTTTTATATCTAATCAGGGAGTGAGATGGCTTTTGGTTTATAAGACCGAGAAGAAAGTAGGTATTGAGGTTGAGTGCCTCAATACAGACGAAATTTCCTTTTAAACAAAAATTAATGTATAATAATAAGAGTGATATTTTAATTGAAAAAAATGACGGATAAATATATCAGCGGTGTTGGGTTGCAGGAAAAAAACTGAACTAACGCATAGAGTGATGCAGAATTTGCCTTATTGGCAGAGTGAGTTTCGATTAGCCTAAGGTATTAGTGTTTAAAAACAATATAAGAAACAAATTTATCTTCTTTGTACAAAAAAGAAGTACTTAGCTACTCAAGTAATCTTCTATATATATAATAATATAATAAAACTAACCCTTGAAGAACTTTTTGGAGGAACTATTGACATGTGGCAACATTATTTGTATGAAAATATGACATGTGGCAACATAATGAATTAAAGAAAAAGCAATTCAACTTCTAAAACTCTACTTTTATGTATTCCAATATTATATATGTATTTATATTAATATATATGTGTATATATTTGTTATAATGTTCCGTATAATATTAGGTAAAATTTTGCACTTGTCAGTATTACAAAATCTAAATACTAAAAAATAAAAAATAATTAACAATTTTAGTCACTCTTAAAATAAAAATATTACTCTATATTTCTTTTTCCACAAACTATTGGAGATTGTCCCTTATTCGGGATTCTTATAAATTGTTTCTTATTACTTTCCAAAATATGATTAATACATCCTCCGTCTCATTGATTTTTTTTACATTTTCTTTTTCGTCCGCTTACTAAGATTGTGTAACTCCAAATATTATAATACATGTGTAGTTCTAAATAATTCTTAGATTATTGTTTCTGCTTTTTCATTTTAACATCAGCTAGGAAACCTCTTTTTAATAGTTACACATGTCTTGGTCTTAATGAGACAAACATGATATTATTTATCTATTTATCAATTCACATGGTCTATCAAATCAATGTCTAAAGGTAGAATCACTTTTTTGTCTCATATTTATTTATACTTCCTTTGCAATTTATGTTTCACGTTGTTAAATGGGTTAGCACTCCCCAATCTTACATAACTCATGGTAGATTATGCTTTTCATAGCTTGGTTTGTCTAACTGCCTAATCGTCTCAAACGATGAGAATGATCTCATGTAAATGATGCACATTGATGGAGTATATGGCCCGGAACCCCCCGGCCCACAGACTCCTACTACTCCAGCGAAGGCCCAACAGGCCCAGAAGGCCCAATGGGCCCAAATCACAGCGCCCAGAGTACCAAGCAGTCCGCACAACGCGCCAGGGGTGACTTCGGCCCCCTGGCCGAAGGCTCCAAATTCTCACAGAACGGGTTTCTCAAGCAAATTAAGAAACTGGGAGGAAACGGCGAAAACAGTAGCCCTCGGCACTGTGAGCCCTCGGCACCAGAGTGCCATCGGTTGGAAGAGCCCTCGGCTACTGCTCTATAGCCGAAGGCATCTCACTCGACAAGATATCCGCCTCACATGCGTGCAGATCACCGTACCCTGCACAGACGTCCCATCCAACAGCCGCATTAAATGCGGCCACATGCGGCTGCCAGCGCCAACCAGTTGAGGTGACCCCTCGGCCAACGAGCGCCTGACACGTGTCCCTGCCTGGCATTTATTGCTACTATAAATAGCACCCCATTCCCCCATTTGTAACCACGCTGAAAACGGCACTCATACTGAATACACTCTCTCTCTACTTTTATTTACTTGCTCTGACTTCTCTCTAAGTTACTCCCCGTAATAACCCTTCGGATATATACCCCCGGGCATACTATCCATCATTTGGTGCTCTCGTTGAGAGGTTGAACAATCGAGTAAGAAACCCTCCCCCTCGACCAAACACAAAACACTAGCCCTCTATCAAAATGGTGAGGACAACACGTGCCAACTCAAAGAACGTAGAAGACAAGAACCTGGCCCTCGGCGACGTCAACGCCCCCGAAGCCTCTCATAGGGCTCCCGAGGGCGGTGTCATCGCTGGGCTGGAACAGGCGGCTGTCGACCTACGCCTTCAGATCCAACAAAATGCCGCCGATGCCCGCCTCGGCATCGAGGCCAAGAAGAAAAACCGGAGCGATGACCAAGTCAGCCCTCCGGTTCTCACCATCGACGTGCAATCGGCGCTCTCCGCCTTCATCCAT